ATATATATATATATATATATATATATATATATATATATATACATATATAGTATATACATACATTACAGTATATATACATTATATGTTTAACGCCATTTCGAGGCGCACCACTGTCGCAGGTTCCAACCTCGCCGGAAGAATTGTTATTATTTGTAGGAACAAATGGTCGGAGAGCTATGCTACACGATGTACTATCATGTCCTCATTATTTAATGATATGAACTAACCCACATAGTAAATGCAACTGTCTCCAACACATTTTTTCTTGTCCCGGGACAATTATTATACGTATTCATCGTACGGTAACAGGTAACACGGCGAGGTGTATCAGTTATTTTGTACAGAATAAATGGCATACTTCGATAATGCTCAGTGATTTCCCACAATTGTCACATGGTTCAGGGTTGTTAATATATTGATTGAAATCATACACCGAAACCAGTTGTGTACAGAAGACCTATTGTAGCGGTTAAAATGTGCATGTCGTTTATTAGATATCAATATGTCTACTCAATTAGACCATGGAGCTATCATTATAGCTGCATGATTAGACACTTTCTCTGTCATTAAACTATACGAGATGAGAGTTAAAGTAGACGGTAGAGATTTATATAATCGCAGGGCCTATCTTGTGTCTAACTAGTCGATCGTTCAACGCCGAGGAGGATTGATAAGATATTTCAAAATTGTACATCATGGACGAGCAGGGCTTAAAATTACTTGCTATTTTCTGCTTATTGATAATTGCATTAATATTTGGATTAGCGCCTCTCTACTTTGTGTGGCGATATCAAGACGAAAATCAAGGTAGTCGGTATCAATTGTGTTTTTCCCTTCTGAACGCCTTTGCCGGCGGCGTGTTTATGTCCATCGCACTGTTACATCTACTACCCGAAGTGCGTCAACTTCTCATGGACGCATTCATTGCAAATGGCAAGACGTACGCGTACTCATGGGCAGAGTTTATTGCGTCAATTGGGTTCTTTTTCATTGTGTTCCTGGAGTTTGGAGTTGAATTATGCCTCGAAAAATTAGGTGTAGAAGATCAAGATAATGAACATTTGGCTTTTGCTTCACACTCGCATTCACACAGCATTGGTGATGTAGGCCTATACAACTACGATACTGTTTCAGAATTAAATAATGATAAACACACTCCTGATGATGACGGAATTAATTCGATTGCTTCAGAGGAACATCCGGGGAGCAATATAGTGATTCGCGCATGTGTTCTTCTCCTTTCGCTATCCGTGCATTCTATCTTCGAAGGGCTTTCACTAGGACTTCAAGCAAGTAAGGAAGGGGTACTAGAATTATTCATCGCTATTTCTATACACAAGGGTATTGAGGCGTTGGGAGTTGCAGTGAGTGTTGCTCAGAGTCGGACAAGAACCGCAATTAAAGTGATTTGTATGGTTTTCTTTTCCTTGATGTCACCCATAGGAATCATAATTGGGATGAAGATTACATCCTCCGGGACAAGTTCACAAGGCATGGTAACGGGTGTTCTACAAGGATTAGCTACCGGAACTTTCCTTTATATTACGTTTTTAGAGCTTTTGCCTCGTGAACTAAAATCCAAGACATATCGTCTGCCTAAAATTATGGCGGTATTGCTGGGATTTTTATGCATAGCCGGCATTCAAGCAATTTAGACCTTGTTTTTTTTTTTATAACGATTTTTAAAAAATGATCAACGTGCTACCACCAGATTAGTCGACTGAGCTAAGCTGCGTTCTCGCATGTGCAGATGACTTTAAGTGACGTCATTACGTTCCACGTCTACCATCGTCATGCAACCGAAAGCTCCCGTTGTTAGTCTTGGATAGACCTGAGTGACGTTGACTGCTACTGTACTGAATATTTTAAGGGATGAAAGTTCTATTAAAAGGTTGACTGCACTAATAAAAACATTTTTCCAGTGAAATTAGCATGCATTGAAGTACTGTATGATGCCGACGAAGGGTTATACTCGAACCAAAGAATAAGGATGATGTCTTTAAGCCTGGTTTGCATACAATCGCTACAATGTCGCTCAGATTTTATTTTTTTTTTACTGCAGCCTCGCATGCACTGCTGCTCCCGACTCAATCCGGAACGTTCCCAGATTTAACTGACCAATCAGTTGAATCTCGGAATGAGCAGTGGCGGCAGGATTTCCCCGAGGGGGGTTCCAAAGTCCTCGACGTGGGGAGGGGGAGGCTGATGTCTTTGACGAGAAAAAAGTTGGCGTGGTCGAACTTCGCTAAAAACCTTTCGAAAGTGGTCCAGGGGACGTAACCCCCCGAAAATATGACAATTTAGGGGTTTCCAAAGGCTTATTAATATGTACAAAAAACATATTGTTTTTAAATTGTGGGTTTTCTCCCCGACAGCGGATGGGGGATCCCCTAGCTCACCCCCACCCCCGTAGCACCGCCACTGCAAATGAGTCGGCGGTGTTAGCGTGTAGCGATTTTTTACGGAAACCAGGCTTACATATTTCAATTATTTTTATTTTCCGTTGACTACCAATAGTTTTTTTGTTTTAAATTTGTATTGTTCGACAATGTAATGTATTTTAAGGTAAAAAATGCAAAATAAGATCTAGGCCTATTCCGTTAAATAAATTCACACATGAGAAGCCGATGAAACGGAGTACTGTATCTGGGTTTGTCAACAAGCAAAGCTTCGACCCACCGGCATTCATTACCGAGCCAGTAACCAGGTTTATTTTAGGGAGTTTAGGCGTACCTAGAAGCCAGAGGGGGTGGGATGAAACATTTCCACAAGATAGGCCTAATTACTTATACTCAGTTAACTCTTTTCGTGCAACACTTCTTAAACTGTACATAGGCCTAGGTAGTAATGAGATTATTTGCACAAAATGCCGAAGTCTCCATGCGCTAAGCGACACAAAAAGAAAATAAAAATTATATATTCTAATAAATAGGCCTATATAGCCCTATAATATATATAAACCAATTACAAAGATCAAACAGCATTGTCAATGCCTTATTGTATACAAACGTTGACAATTTCTAAATAAAAAAAACTAGTCTGAGATTACAAACCTTCGCACGATATTATATTTTATTTTTCATAGGTTTTCTTTTTTTTTTTTTTAAATTAGAACTGCAGATTAAAAACATTTTAAAATCTGCATCTTAGTTCTCCAATCCACCGCAAATGGAGGCCTAGCGTAAGCCTCAAGTAGCATGACCATCAGTCAAGCTTACACGCCTTCCAGGCTGCTTCCAGTACACCGGCCAGAATTTAATAACACATGTTTGGTCTACGGTCGATCCGTTTGAGTCAACCCGGCCCAGCCAATGACTGGGGCGAACGATCGGCTTGAGTTTGGCTCTGTCAGCTGCGACCTAAAAGTGTATAAACTCTACATCTTACTTCTGATGAGCAAAAAATTTGGGATGGACCGGGATACATTTAATACTGTCAGTGAAAATTTGAGGTTAAACGGTTCAGTAGTTTTTGAGTTATGCTCCCGGAAGGACAAACACACAGACAGACACCTCCCCCCCCTACACACACAGACGGAGCTCACTGCAATACCCTCTTTCCCTACTTCGTTGGGGCGAGGGTAATAAATAGAGGTTACAGTTTCCAAAATAAAAACCAAAAACACGCTATCGCCGCCTCCTTTGAATCAGGAGAGTTTTGCAACGATTGCGGTAAAAAAAATATAAAAAAAACAAAAAAACTGTAGCGACAGCGTAGCCGTATCGATTGTATGGAAACTTGGGGGGGGGGGGGCTACAATTTTTTTTCCAAATGTTAAAAGCCGCAAGCTAGTCCTTCTCCAGCAATTTTGTTTTCTCTATCAATGTTAATTTTCTCAATACATTTCAGATGGTAGAGAGAGATTGATTATGTCAATGAAGTCTGATGATGAAAAGAAACAATGAATCAAACAAGATTGTGTAAACATGATTCTGATCTGAATACATGTTTAAATGATCTGAAATAACAACCAATTATTAAATTATTTAAATGAAATTCAAATAATAATATTCTTAATTCCCAATAAAATCATCTGACGTAATCCAATGAAGTGATGGCACAATTGCAAAACACCTATAAATACTCCAAAATCTTACACACACACTTAACAACTACCGTACTTAAGCATGCGTAGAGGCGTCAGGCCAGGCGTTGAAACAAAGTAAAACAGTGATTATATAAATATATAATAAAGAAGAGGAAATGGAGATGGGCAGGTCACATAGCAAGGACGGACGGATAATAGATGCACAAGAAAAGCAATGGATTGGGTGCCAAAAAATCGAGTCAGGAGGAGAGATAGACAGAAAAGAAGGTGGATGGATGAAACACGAGAACTCAAAGGCATTGCACGGAGGAACGGAGCACAGAACAGAGAAGAATGGCAAGTCGATAAACAGTCTTTCCTTCTGCAGTGGAGCGAAATAACTAAATGATGAGGATGATGATATATAAACACTGTAAATACACTCCCACCCGTACATAATAAACAACATAAATCTTTAATAATGCAATAAAACAAGGAAAACCTTCTCTATCAAGATTACAATTTTAATGATCAAGAGAAACAAAATATTCTTTTTTAAGTACAGAAATATAACAATCATTTTAAATATATAATATATAGATATATCTTAGTCTAGCGTAAAAATAAGGCTATTTCTCCATGTTAAGTTACTACAGGCATTACACCAGCAGAAAACTCGTTCACGTGTATGTGTTATCTTGTAGGCACCCATGTCGACTTTCGCGTAGTTGCTATAATCACAGTAATCTTCATTTCTTGAAAGCACTATAGATCTCTAAATACACAATAGCTAACGCATTTTTTCATAATCAAAATATATGTTTAACCTCTATTCCAAAATATAATATTCTAAGTAATAACAGTTAAAATAAAATCCACATACATAGTCTTAATCTGGTTTACAATTGATAATACCAGCAACAATAAACTCAACAGAAGTAATGGTAATAAGAAGTTAAAAAAAAACAAAAAAAAAACAAAACAAAACAAAACAAAAAAACAAAACAAAACAGCCTGGAGGTACTAATGATGTAATACAGCTTACAAATAGTTGATTGTGTTTACAAAAACACCAAGATTAATTATACACTTATACCAGTAGAAATATATTTCTAAGAAATAATTATTAAAAAAAATAAAATAAAACATAAATTAAGTATTAATTCGAATTCTAAAAATTTATAAAATGATAAATTACAAAATCAATTATGCACTTTTGAAAAGTAACTTAAAATTGAATTGAATGACTTAAAAAAAATATGAATATTAATCTACCAACTGTACAACATTAAATTTCAGGTATGTTATGGCTTTTTATGATATTAAACCCCGTATTGTTAAACAATAGAGCAGCAATTACGACCAAAAAACCAAAACCAAATACACAATATTCATAGCATCCTCACTACCATAATATACAAAATTAGAATTACTATTATTTCAATAAATTGTTAGTCAACCAAAAATATGGTAGCCTTTTAAAACATTTTTGTGTAGCCTACGTATTTACAAAGAAGCTAAAACCTACAGTTTTCATTAAAATAAATCATACGCTACCTTAAAATTGCAAACGATATATTTGGCTCTAATACGTTGTCATTTGAGAATTCATTACAATTTTGAGAACTCGAGAATACTTGCGGTTTTTTTAAGTGCGTTCATGCACACGTCCGTCACACACGCACGCACGTACGCACATATCGGTCACAAGCATGCACATAATAATTCACGTGCACAAACACACCATTCACGTACACATAACACCAGCAGGCCTGCAGATGTATCTCTAACACGCATAGAAGAATAAAATGCGGGTCTGTAATTAATTGGCAAAAATTAATTAACTAATTAATTAAGTATGAAAATTCACTAACTGATCATCCATAAGTCCCACTAAATGACTCCAGTAATTTGTTTTATCAATATTCCTATTACATAATAACTCATGTTAGTAGTTATAATATTTGTTTAAATTATCAAAATATTTACATTGAGAATTTATTAAATTGATATCTAAAAATTAATTTGTCAAACTCAACCATAAGTTGATGCATCATTGTTAACACGTTTGAACCACAAATTCAGACATAACTCAACGCATAAATAGGAGATATAATCAATGTTATAAGTACGTAATGGTAGCATATTAGGGCTATGTTGCATAAGTGTTGAAAATACAAAAAAAAAATACATAACGTTTAATCCTAGTTAATTCTGAAAAAATCAATATAAAATATTCTTGTAAAATGGACCGATCCGGAGTGTCAACTAACGGGAACAAGATCAGGGAATACGTGTGCATCTGAAAAGGACACGTGTGTGTCCCACTAACTCACGTGTTCGCGTATGTTTTAACACATCGTTTCGTGGGATCTTAGCAACAATATCCAAGGGGTGAGGCTTAGTGTGAAAGGTCATTTAGATTGGAAACAAATTTAAATCATATAATAATCGTCATCATTATCATATCTTTGATTTATCTATATATGTTCATTATCACTCATAGTTAATTAATTAATGTATAATACGAAATGAAAAAAAAGGTCATAAGCACGACCGGGTTCATTATTTACACTTGCATAAAGGTCAGTGAACATAACTCAGCTGACCTACAGTATGTTTAACTATAAAATTCACCATCTGTTCCATTTCACTAAGTAAAATTACAGACCATTATAAATCTCAATGTACACTGTACCATTTACTACATTACTAAGTTTAATACTAATGTGTATTCTAAAATAAATGCCAATCGGCTTCTTAATGCATGGACTTTCCTGAAAAAAGTTTCTCGTTTTTCAGTTATGTCAAGCCCTCTAAAATTCGAAAACAAAAATTGCAGTAGCACGTATTTCGTAAGAGCCACTATAGTATGTGTATATGCAATCTTTCTATCTTTTTTATTCCAGTAAATATAATTCAAATAAAATTAAAAAAAAACGTTTACAGCCAACGGCAGGTACGCTTGCCAAATTACAGGATGGATCCTATACACCAGGTCCCTTTATGAGGCTCTGAATATTGTTTTTGTAGTCTTGATGGGAAGGCAAGCATCTTAGCCGTCAAGCTACAGATACAATTAAAAAGTACTTCTTTTCAATTGTACTTTCACAACTCTCCATCATAATTTAAAAAAAAAAAAGGCTTCCAGTGGGAACATATGTCGACTGCTTGAAATGGCAATAGTAACAGATTGTTGACTTTTTAGTTCTTTCAAGCCTCTAGGACAGGTCTTATCTAGGTATAGCATCATATTTCGTAATTTCTGACGCATCCCATAATTTCTCCAATCAGATTTACTCTCACAACTTACAAGCCGATAGCCAAGTGTCTTAGGATGCGCTATTTTGAGTTTTACAGATTCTTGCAATTAAAAACTCACTTCATCATTATGGTTGCCACAGTAACAGTGTGCAATTCTAGTTCCAGGAATATCAATCCTGAATTTGTCACCTAGTAACATTTTCCTGAATAGCTGAGGGGGTGTGTAGATCTGATGGACCATGTCTAATTGGGGGGTTGCCGTCTACAGCCGATGTGTTGCGTCTAGTTGTTTGGTTGCGTCGGTAGGTGTATCTAAGTTTAGACCGTCGTTTACTGGTAATCTTTTGTGCCTTCTCTTTTAATTCAGCAGCAAATTGTTGGAACATGGAACCAAGGCTTTCTCTGAATGGCTGCAAAAGAGTAGAGAAATTAAATTCAGGCTGTCCAAACACAACATTTGTTTTCCTTGTCTTCTAGGGTCTTTGACTTACTTCTTTTTTACTTATATTTACTATTTAAAAAATTAAATACTTATTATTTACTCTATTAACAAATGTTATGTTTTATATGTATATTTCAAAAAGGAAGTGAATAAGTGCTGATTTGAATGGAAAATAAATCACAGAAATAAAGGTGCCGGTATACGGTATACTGTAAAACACTGAATAGAAGCCCTGGGCCTCTTTTTCTTCAGGACACTTGAATGGGCTTATTTTAGAGATATAAACTTTTCGAGATTTTTGCAAACCTTAGAGGGGCCATCTTTTCAAAATGAATGCTGAAAATTTCGGAATTGCTACTATACAACAATTTTCAACTACAGTATGGAATATTTGGAACCATGCTAGTACAATCAAATAATATTGATACTGACACGCTATCACAATTATCAAAGATACCATCAATGCAAGTTGATCTCAAAAGAAACCAATATTTATTATTATGTTGATCAGAAGCTCATACACTTCTTTTCGAGAAAACCGAAGAGGGAGCTCCTGTTCAAAATGGGCAACTTCTTGAGATTAAGCCAACTGAACTTCTATTCGAGGTTTCACAGTATTACAACAGAATTCGTAAAGACACCTTGAGATTATATTCAAATTTTTCCACTATATTTGTAGGAATAGTTTTCTATTGTTAATTATTGTTATTTGTTTTGTGAATGTTGTTTTTTGCTTCAGCTTTTTGTTAGTTTGAAGCAATCAAGTGTAATGCTGCAATGACAAATGTTAAATGTTTTAATAATTAGAATGAATGAATGAGTGAGTGAATGAATGAGTGAGTGAATGAGTGAATGAATGAATGAATGAGTGAATGAATGAGTAAGTGAATGAATGAGTGAATGAATGAGTGAATGAATGAATGAGTGAGTGCATGAGTGAGTGAATGAATGAATGGTTAAATGGATGAGTGCATGAGTGAATAAATGAGTGAATGAGTGAATGAATGAATATATGAATGAACGAATAAAAATATGAATGAATGGATAAGTGCATGAATGAATGAATGAATGAATATATGAATGAATGAATAGATGAGTGCATGAGTGAGTGAATAAATGAATAAATAAATGAATAAATAAATGAATTTCAAATGAATGAATGAATAAATGCATGAATGTATGAATAAATGAACGAACGAATACATGAATGAATGAATGGTAAAATGGATGAGTGCATGCGTGAGTGAATGAATGAATAAATGAATGAATAAATATATGAATGAATGAATGGATGATTGCATGAATGAATGAATAAATATATGAATGAATAAATATATGAATGAATGAATGGATGAGTGCATGAATGAGTGAATGAATGAATGAATATATGGATAAATAAATGAATAATAAATAAATGAATTTCAAATGAATGAATGAATGAATAAATAAATGCATGAATGTATAAATGAATGAATAGTTAAATGAAGGAGTGCATGAGTGAATGAGTGAGTAAATGAATGAATATATAAATGAATGGATGAGTGCATGAATAAATGAATAAATATATGAATGAATGAATGAATGAATGAATGAGTGAATGAATGAATAAATAAATAAATGAATAAATAAATAAATGAATTATTGAATGAATAAATGCATGAATGTATGAATAAATGAATGAATGAACGAATGAATGAATGAATAAATGAATGAATGAATGAAGGAATGAAGGAATGAATGAATGAGGAAGTCTGATATAAAATATTTGAGCCGCTGATCTGTTGTTTAAAGATGCATGTTGAAGAAATTCAAATATTCATAAAATTATGATATAATAACAAAATACAAAAATGCTGACAATAGCTTGCATAACAAAAGAAAACGATTGTTACAAGACAACAATGAAAAGCAGGAATAATACAACATGTAAACAATTTACCAACATAAAAAATACCAAAATATGAAAGCATCCACGTGTAAGAATCTAAAATAAATCTACAAAATATTTTAAAATAATTTTAGTACAATGTTGTTGTAAACAGAACAATACAATAGGGTTTACACTGTCAACTATCTGTTGCTAGTATTACACTACATGATCAAAATGTATTATTTAATGTGTGAACCAAACCACCTGAATAGCGCTGTAAATGCAGTCAGCCTGTGAATCATCACAGTGGATCCAATTTTTTTTTTTTTTCAATGGGGAAGGGGGGGGAAACAAATTTTCAGAATACTGTAAATCAGTCAGGGGTGCTAGTTATTTAAGGAGTGGCATATAGTATATATATATATATATATATATTCTTATATATATATATATATATTCTTAGTAAAATTAGCCTAATGCTGATTAATTAACTGAATTATGTTAATTGCATTTTTCTACAACTTGTAAATATATATTGATGATAATAAAATATTTATAAAATTTTATTGATGAATTTAATGATTCATTTTTTAACGATTTTCTCATAGCTTTTTAGGTTTTGTTTTTCTATGTTCTTTTTTGCGCAATTGTGCGGTTAATTGTATTTACTGGTCCCAAGTGGAAATAAGGTAACTTTTCTTGGTATTCATTGTATTCATTGTAATCAAGGTCTGTTTCACTACGCAATAGACCTTTATGGAGTGTCAATCAAACTTAACTACTGACTTTATGAGAACAGCGCAAGTAATACGCGCGCGTCTCACAAACACACGTGTTATCCCATAAACGCATGTGTTCTCATATGTTTTAACACTGTTGCCTTGTGGGACCTAAGCAAAAATATCCAAGGGGTGGGGCTTAGCGGAAAGGTTAATTTTAACTGACTATTTGTATGTATGTATCTTTTAATCAATGTGTATGTTTGTTTTTGTACAATTTTATGACCTTCTCAATACTAAATCAAAAATATCAAACTCATATATTTATATATATATAAAT